TAATTTTACCATGGGCTTTATAATAAAACACAAGTGATTCTACTTATAAGCTTACCTCTTTGGATAATTCATTTCTTTCTTTAGCTTGAGCTATGTGAGAGACTTCAAGTATTTCATGTTTTCTTCTAACCTCAAGTACTTCCTGCTCAAGAGCATCACGTTCACTATGAAAATAAATTCAAACACACACCTAATGATTACAGCCTCTTTTACATTCAAAAGCTGGGTGTCAGGAATCTGAATGGGGAGCAGTGGGTCTTTTGTGTCATTCTATGAACCACAAAGTATCCACTTTTCAAACTTAAAAGAGTCTTTGTTCAAGAATCCCTTTAGGTAAGTAAATATGAATATTACCATTAAAACATAAATACATAAAATTACACTAACCAGTAAAGTAAATAATGTTTTCTAAGGTACAATTTGATTTTTTTCTCAATAATCATCTATTACCAGTTTTTGTTGCTTGAGACATGGTCTCACTTAGCACAGGTTGGCCTGTAACTCAGCAATGCTGTCTTAGTTTTCCAAGTTCTATAATTTCAAGAATGAGCCGCCTCAGAGGGCTTCAATCTTATCTTAAAGCCAAAGCTTTTAAAAAATTTTTTAAAAATTAAATATAACTCCAGGTTTTATTATTGCCAAAACCCCTTCACAACTTAACACTTACATTGTAGATAGATACATAACCAGGCACTTCTGGTACAATTTCATCCATAAATTCCTCACGATTAAATCAGAAATTTTAATTTCCCCTTTCACACTAGCTCTGTTCCCAAGACAATGAAACTAAGAACTGGACCAAAACCTACAACAGTCACCTTCAAAACTGAGCAGAGAAATTTCACTTCTCTCTAGTCAGGAAGGCCTTTGGACTTCATTGACCCCCTGGGCCGAGGCTCCTAAGAATTGTTTTTCTTTTCACCAGTTTTTCAATAAGTCATTTATATGGTATAAACATCTTATTCCCTAACATATTTTGCATGAGGCTGTATATTCCATTAATGATTCTAAATCAAATATTATTAATTAGGCTACAAACATTCATTCTAACATGCACATCCACTCATAGTTCAAATTGTAGTGTTCATATCATTACCTATTTATTATTAGCATGCCCTCAAAGATTCTTATTCTATTAGTGGTTTACAATTCGTAATTTTCAATATTTACTTTTACATTCAGGTTGTAGTATATTTAGATGGCTGGAGGTTCTTCAAACTGACTATTGTGGTACTGAATTGGATTAGAACTATTGCTGTGATCTTATCCATAATGTGCTATGCTTCCTCCCTCCTCCCCCTAGCCTATCTTTGTCAAGAAACAATAGCCTAGCTAGTGATGATCACAGCCTAAATGTCAATTTCTAAACAGCACTTCCCATTAATAGAAACCAGAGAAAAGGCTAAGGCAATTAAATTACAAAATAAAAGTAGGAACATTATGTTATGCCAGAAGGTATGGAACTGCTGAAAAAAAAAAAAAACCACTAAAATATAACTTAATGATTTAACTACCATATAGAATTTTATGTAGATATAAAATCCATTCTGCTATTCAGAAGCTCTTGAATTTTAGCAATTACATAATTAATACGTGTCTACCTTACTACTCTTTGCACATTTGTGAGAATTGTGAGAATATCCCCTAGGTCACCTTATCTTTTTGTGACTTGTCCTTTTTTTCCTTCCTTGCAGTGCTGGTGATTGAGCCCAGGGTCACATATTCAGTGAGTGTTCTGCCACTGAACTACATTACCAGGCTTGGTTTCTTTTGAATCAGGACCTTGCTACATTATGTAGTCCAGGCTGGACTCAAGAACTCACCATCTTCCTACTTCTGTCTCCCAAGTGTTAGGATGCTAAGATTACAAGTCTGTTGCTACCAGGCACTGACAATCTGTTCATATTTTTTAAAATCCATGAGTGAGGCCGGGCATGGTGGCGCACGCCTTTAATCCCAGCACTTGGGAGGCAGAGGCAGGTGGATCTCTGTGAGTTCAAGGCCAGCCTGGTCTACATAGTGAGTTCCAGAACAGCTGGGGCTACAGGGAGACCCTGTCTCAAAAAGACCAAAAAAAAAAAAAAAAAAAAAAAAAAGTCCATGAATGAAACAAAAAGTTCACGTTCAACACTTTTGTTTTACTGTTAATTTCAGCCCATAAATTTGCTTATACTTTTTGTTCAAGGTTATATTTTTCTTCCTAGTTTGTATTATAGAAAATGAAATCATATAGTTAACATAATGAACCTCATGATCCCATTATATGCCTCAGTAATTATTAACCATGACTTAGTTTGTTTCATTTACTTATGAATGAGTCATGGCCTTCTGAATTATTTTGATGATTATACTTTTTCTCTTTTTATAATTTATTTATAATTGCTGCAGATTTATAGTGGAAAATAGGACATCAAAATATGAACTCTTAAGTATAATTTTAACATTACAAACTACTTATTTCAGTTGCTTCTTGGGGACAGGATGGGAAGACGAGGAGGATAAGCAGGAGTGAGAAGGGGGTGAGAGAAGGTAATGAGGGGGGAATATGACCAAAAGCCATTACATACATGTGTGAAAATGAAATAATGCAACCTATTATTATGTATAATAATAGATACTAATAAAAAAACTTACTGGTAAAAATTAAAATATAATGCCTCCTTTGAAATTCAGCCTTATTCAGAGTCCATACATCCCTCTCACAAATTTCAAGCTTCAATAATCACCATATTTTGGTATCAGGATAAATATTAGTATATACTGTATATTCATCAAGGGAGGAATAGAAATGCCCACATATTTGCTAAGTCCTTGAAAATTCACTTACAATAATTTATAAGTTAAATTAGATAATTTAAAGCATTTATACAATATTCACTGACTACTACATTTCACAAATTTTAGCTATAGATGTAACCATGAACTATTATGATAAATCCATCCTATCTATATAGATATAGTACTTATATACTTTAAAACTTTCATAAATATTTCTTTATTTGATCTTAGATAACAAAACCTAAACTCAGGTTTAAAAGAGATTTACCAAGAGTTCCTAGGTAAAGAGTGGCTCATTAAATACAAGTAACAGAAAAGTATATTCCAGTTACAAGAAAATATTTCCCATAGTTACTTCGTACCAATATATTTGGGAAACATCTCATAAAGTGTTAATTTTTGAAAGTGTGAGAGCTTTTTGTTGGAACAGCTTAAAATCACCTGGGGAGATTTAATTATTTAAGTTGGTATTATTACATAAAAAAAAAAAATCACCAAATAACACTTAACAGATATTTAAACAAGGATTTTACTGGATTTCCAATTTCTTTTCTATTTTTTTTCTTTGTCTTTAAGAGACAGGGTCTCCCGGCAGCGCCAGTTGGCTTGGAGCTCACTATGTAGATGCGGCTGGCCTCAATCTCACAAAGATCTGCCTGCCTCTGCCTCCGGGTGTTGGGATTAAAGGCCTGCACCATCATACCAGGCTCTCTTTTCTATTTTAAAAGGTGGCAGCAATTACTATGTAAAATAATAATACCAAATAGAAAACTGCAGCTTGCACCAACAAACTGCATGCTTTTATGCAAAGAATTAGGAAAATAAGAAATAACCATAAAGAGGATAGAAACTCAGGTGACTGATGAATGCCAAAAATGAAAATTGTCATAGCCACCTTAACTATTTACCTCTTGACTTTATCATAGTTCTGTTGACGGTAGTCACCTTGCTGAATTAACTGCCTTGTGTCTGCCAATTCTAAGGTCAAACGTTGACATCTAATTTGAAGCTCAGAGTTGTTTCTTCGATCTTTGTCATGTGTCTATAAATCAAAGGGATAATTAGATACTTCAAAATGAAAATAGTTGACAAAATTCTGTATTGAATTTTTCTGTTAAGCTGTGAAATTCCCTCATAACTAAACAAATCAAAAAGTTCAAGTTGTCTACAGTATTTGGTTACTCAAAATAGGTCATCTTAAATTGATGAAAAAATTTGTAAGCTCATTTGTTTAAAACTTAAAGTTTCCCAAAACAAACCTCATAAATATGCTGTTTAGCAGATTACTAATGTTAAATAATATTTTCAACATTAACTGAATCACTATTAGTTTCCAAGGATAAAGAAATGAATAAGCAACTCTTGTTCTCCAAGAGTTCACAATTTTGGGAAAAAGAGCCATACGAATATCAATATAATGGTTACTGCAAAGATTAACTTTGCCAATCCAATTGTTGTACACAGTGCAAGAAGAAAAAAAAAAAAAAAGGAAAAAGGATTGTGTGCCCCTCAGAACACATGCCTACAAGAATCTCTCATCCATTCAGATAGCAATAGCATATGAATAAGGAACTGCTGAGATATGGGGGCACTGGTAGACATGAAAACATCAAAGGGCTCAATCATAAGTTCCTCACAATCTAGTCCTACTGACTACAAGCCTAATTTCCAACCATTCCTCAAGATTCTACTTCACCCTCCAATTAATAAAGATTTGAAGTTTTGAGTGTAGCATGCTTGCTCTAACCTGTTGCCCTTCCTGGGCACCTAAATATAATCTGAATACAAGTTCCTTCAGACCACTGACAGCACTGTACCATCAAATCAGTTTTCTTCACATCAACAGACTTTGTTTTATTCATTGCTGAGTCTCCGTTATTTTACATAGTGCTTAGTCCATAGGAAGAATGAAGTAAATGTTCTAGAGTACAATAGGACATGAATGAACATGGAAGCGGGGAGGGAAATCAGGACACAGGGATGGAATTCCTACTTATTCTTTCCCTTTGAACTTTTCAGGTCCTGCACCCAGCTATCCATTCCATCATGAGAATCTAGGTATGTTAAACATGCCTTGTCCTAAGTCTTTCCTTTCTGATGGCTGACCAGCTAAGTGTGGGCATATTTAATCCATAAATACTCAATTATTTCTATGTGATTGGTCAAGGGCTAGATACTGTGCACACAAAGATGAGTAAGACAAATTGTTTATACTACTAAATATAGAACTGAAATGTCAGGTTCCAATTTTCTACAAAAGAGTTGTTTGAAAGATGTAATTATAGAAAATCAGAAGACAGTGATTTTCTTTGGTTGAGCATCATGTTCTCCTACACTGAGCTCTTTATGAGAATGAAATGTACTATGATATTCATTATAGAATTTAGCTGAGGATGCTCTGTTACTTCCCAGAGGAACATCATGTACATCATCTATACCTACATCCTAAAAGAGGACTGAGTTCTCCTGAAGAACACTTTATCCTTCTCAACACTATTAATCACATAACTATTTGGAGAGCAAGTATAGTGTGATGAGAAGGTAAGCTCCAGAATTCGGTTTCTAGAAAAGAACGACTTACAGTGGGACTCCTGTCAGGTTAGTTTACTTGAAAGCAACTTCACTTATATCTCACAGCATTCTTGTAAGATCATATGAAATCAATACATGTAATAGTGCTTATAAAATGCAAAATACATGATGAATGCTCATTAACTATAAATAGAGTATTTCCTCTTCTCCTTGGTTTCCTCAGAGGTCAGAGTCAAGCTGTAGTTTAGGTATAATAATGGCACAAAGAATACAAAGAACCCAGAAGAATATAAATATTCAAAGGATAGGCAAAAGATAAAGAGCCCAAAGAATCCAAGAGTATTTAAAGAAAAGGGTTAGCCATAAGTGTTTGTCAGAAACAAGAAGGAAGGTTATTCAGAAAACGCAGCAGTAAACAAAGTTGTGCTGAGAAAGCAACCAGTAAAAAATAAATATTCAAGGATCAGAAAATAGAGACTGTAGCAAATGCATCTGAGTACTTAATTATGCACATGTTTTATGGTTTTGTTTTTCTTGACACAGGGTCTCATGTATATGTTATGGCTGGCCCTGAATTCACTATGTAGCCAAGGAGGACCCTAAAGTTCTGACCTCTTGATTCCACCTCTTGAGTGCTTGGATTATAGACCTGTGCCATGATGCCCAACTTATGTGATACTGGAGATTGAAACAAGGACTTCTTGCATGCAAGACAAGCACACCACCAAGTGAGTTACAACCCCCTGTCTCATCTTGTATTTTAAATTCATTATGTTAATATTTTATGCCTGGATATAAAGATTATCCTTGTTTTCACAGATGAGAAAAGTGAGGCTTAGAAAGCAAGTCTCAGAGAGCATAAATAGTACATTAGGATTCCAATGTAAGTTTGTCAAATGCCGAAATGGTAAGCAATTCTTTCTATAAAAGGTAAAAGTGGAGGGCTGGGTTTAGTAGATAAAGTACTTGTTGTACATCTGTGAGAACTAGAATTTGGATCAAAGAACCCCCACACAAACCAGGTAGGCATGGTAGTCCACCTGTAAGCCAAGTGCTTGGGAGATAAAGACAGGGATTCCCCAAGACAAGCTGGCTAGCTAGACTAGCTGATCAGTGAGCTCCAGGCTCAGCAAGAGAGGATCTAAGTGGACATCAAAGGGGACACCTAACATCAACCTGCAGTCTCCGCATGTACACACATACCCACATACACGTGTGCCCACACACATGTGAACATACATGCACACCATATACACATGCGAAGAGTGGAGAAAATGCAGTAAGAATAAAATAGAGCTAGCGAAGGTTTTAAAAGATGAGTCAACTTGAAAATGTACAAATGTTGATGAGAAATAACTAAAAAGTGAAAGTGTTAAAGGCATACTCAGAAATGCAAAGCCCCCAAGAAGATTTTAGGGGATGGGCTCCAGAACTGAGATATGATGTCAGTTTTGGCTCAAAAGGCATACATATCAGGGTAGGCTTTTTTCTAGTGGACACAATATATTAAAAACAATTTTTTTTAAACACAGCCTAGCCTTACCTCAATGCTTCACGTATTTATATTAACCATTTAGTTTCTGAAGACCTGAGTTGTCTACACCTCCTCACTATAACTAGGAAGAAGAAATAAACCAGAATGGGTACAGATGGAAGTATGTTTCCAGGATTCTCGGCAGGGAATTGGGGGAGTTCTTTTCCAAGAATTTCCATTTTCTCTGTAAAATGGAAGAATCAAATAATCTGATGAAAAAAATGAGAACCAGAAAGATGGAGATGTGAAGAGACTAAGGAATGCTAAAATATCTTCCAAGGAAAAGAAAGGACTAGAAAGAGACAGCACAACTGCATTCCACTAGGGCTACTAACAATCATCTTGGCCTGCTTGTTGATGGGAAAACGATTGTTTTCTCCCAGTAATGATCAATTAGATTGATGAGAGCTGAGGTTCCTCAGGCTGGTTTGATAAAAAGCAAGTTGCAATTAAAGGACCGTGGCAAAAGAAAGTTTCAAGACTGATAGGGTGACGGAAAGAGAAGAAATTGCATTTTAAAAGGGATTGATAAACTATATGGATTGGAAATTTTGTTAAAGTCAGAAGTAGATGACTCATAAACATGGCTGGGTCGTCAGATAAGATGACCACATAAAGAAACTGCTGTTATAATGAGGATGCGCATGCCAGGTTCTGGAGGTCTACAGATCTTGAGCTGGGGGTGTTGCTCAGAAGAATAGCACATGCCTAGCAGGTATAAGCTCTGGGTTCCATCCCAAGCAATGCAAAAGAACAATGGGGTAGGGGAGAGAAGCATAAAGATGTCAGAGATTCAGAATCTTCATCTGACTGAAATATGTAAGGTATGGACACTTGTCATGGAAGGCAGTTCCAATAGAGACTGGATGGATGTCTGTATTTACGTGTATATATAGTTTTTCTTTCAGTACAAATGCCACATAGCAAATATACAGAGAAGGTCAATGTAGGAAGCCATACTTTCTATCAATACTTTAAGAATTTTCAAGTGAATGATTCCCCCTTAAATAAAATTAAAACTTTTATATTCTGGTGAAAAAAAAATATGTATCATCTTAGAAACTAAAATAAAGAGCTGGATATGGTGGCACACATTTGTAATCCCAGCACTTATGAGAACTGAGACAGGTAGACTTTAAGTTTGAGATCAGTCTGGATTGTGTAGTAAAATCTAATGTCCAAAATAAAATAAAATAAATTGAAGAGTAAGGAACATCATTAGAAAACAATTTTAAAAAATAGCATTTTGCATCAAAAAGGAACCAAACTTTATGGCTGTAGAGCTTTGTGGATAAGACAAAAGAGATAGACTATTCTGTCCTCCTCTCTGGATTCTTTGTCTTCTGTGGGAAGATGCGAAGCCCTAACTCTGAGCTAAGATTCCCACCTTATGTTTTCTCACTGCTAGAAAATGTATCGCACATGCTATGAGCAGCCATTACTGGCCTCCTACCAAATAAGCAAAAATGAAATAAACTTTTCCATAATCCTAGTACTTAGGATTATGGGGCTATTATAATAGAAGCTTTGTAATTAATTTCTGTGGATGAGAGGGAACCGAGATAATGCACTAAATACATTAAAAGAAGAGATGCAAATCATTTAGAGCAGACACAAACTTTCTATTCATCATTCCTTTCAAATTGAACATTCTAGGTAGTAGTAATTGGAATAATAGCCAAGTATCAGTTTCCCTGTTTAATCAATTACATAGGGAAACCAAGGGCAATCTGAGGAGAGCTCCATTGCTTGTCTGCCTCGTGCACAAGGAACAAAACATATTTTATGACTACTAGGGTTAATGTCATTTTTTTTTTTTTTTACCATTTAAGTTATTTGTATGTGGAAATAATGCAGGCTATCTCCACCCAGAATGTAGTGCATCTGTTATTCTAATGGCATGTTTCCTTGTCTTATCTATGAACTTCCCCCTTTCCCTACACCCACATATGACTGTGAGCTCCTTAAAGACCTGT